CTGATGGAGATGGGCTACGACATCGTCACAGGTGAGGAGGGGTCTTGGCAGTGGGATGGGGTCCAAGTCAAGCCAGGAGGGCACAATCTGCCAGCATGATTCCTCAGGACATCCACACACCTGTTCTGAAGCAGCCCGAGTTCCCAGGGGCAGGCCCTGCTGCAATCCCAAGCCTCTTAGCTGATGTTTCCCGTGGGAGCAGCGTTTCCCCAATCCCACATCCCCACCAAACCCCTCTCCTTGCAGGGGGCTCTGACAACCACCTGATCCTCCTGGACCTGCGCAGCAGAGGCACAGACGGCGGCCGGGCCGAGCGGGTGCTGGAGATCTGCTCCATCGCCTGCAACAAGAACACCTGCCCCGGTGAGGGATCCCACGAGCTCTGCTGTATCCTGCCCCCCGTGCTGGGGATCTCCCGTGGCCTGTGCAGAGCTTCCCACGGGGCTCCCAGCTCCCAGTCCATCCCAGGCACTGGGAACCAGGCTGAAATGCCGCGTGTGGTGGTTTTGGTGCCGGGTTTGGTCACGTGTGCCCTGTCCTGGTGCAGGTGATATCAGTGCCCTGCGCCCCAGCGGGCTGCGGTTCGGGACCCCCGCTCTCACCTCCCGCGGCTTCCGGCAGGACGATTTCCGCAAGGTGGCTCAGTACATCCACAGAGGTGAGCAGGGCTGGGATTCAGCTCCAGCAGCATCCTGGGCCAAGGCAGCTCCCCTGGATGAGAAGGCACCAGCTGGCAAGAGAGCACACCCACAAGTGGGGAATAACCATCCCACCTGCACATCTGGATGTGGCCCATCTGGCCCTTCCCTGTCCCTCGCAGTCTTGTCCCAGTTGTCCTCGGGGGTTGGTTTCCCAGGGCAGCAAGTCCCTCACACAGGAGGGAGGGAGCAGGGCTGTGTCCTGGGGAGCAGCAGGGCTGGGAGAGCCGTGGGCTGCAGCAGCTGCGAGGGCTGACCGAGGCATCTCCCACGCTGGCAGGGATCGAGCTGGCACTGCGCGTGCAGAACGACATGAGCCCCAAGGCCACGCTGAAGGAATTCAAGGAGAAGCTGGAGGAGGAGAAATACCGTGCGGAGCTGAAGGCACTGAAGGAAGAGGTGGAAGCCTTTGCAGCCACCTTCCCGCTCCCAGGGCTGCCTGTCCTGTAAGGGGAGACACCTACGCTCTGCTCCCACAACCTCGGGAGGAGCCGGGATCACGGCACACTCACCTGATACCCCAGTGCCTTCTCCCAGCACCTCCCTGCTGCAACTGCAGCAGCAGCTCATCCTTTGGCTCTTACTCCCCTCTCCCCTCCCGTGTGGGGCACAGGGACCCCCTGAGCACGGCCCCTGTAGGGACACCAGCCCTTCAGCACTCAGTGCCACCACTGGGACCGAGCACCAGGTCACCCTCACCTCACATCCAGGTGCCACCCAGCTCCCGCTGGCTGTGGGAGCAGCACATGGGACCGGTCTGTCCACATTCCCTGGACACACTGCCCACAGCAGCAGGAGGGATGGGGGGGTCCAGCTGCACAAGAGACCTCACAGCCACTAAACCCCACCCCAGTTTCAGCCTCAAGGATTCCCCTTCATCCTATGTGCCTTCCCACCTCCTGTGCAGGCTCTGACAAGGCCAGGCCTTGTCCCCAACATCCCTCCTGGGATCACCCTCCCCACCCTAGCCAGAGCCTCTGGTATTTTCTCAGACCTCTGAGCACAAAGCTTAGGTTGAACCATTTTTTAATAAGCACGGTAAAATTAAGAATTTAACCACAATGTATGACAAGAATTATAAGCTTTAAAAAATACGACCGATTTTTTTTTTTTTTTTTTTGTATTTCAAAAATATCTGAACCCAAATAAATAATTTTTTTTTTTTTTTAAAAGTACATTTCTCAGACTAGTCATTTGGTGTTATTAACATCTGTTAAACTCTTGTGCAGTGACACTTACAGCACGACACTAAGACATGCTTCTTGGATTTCTCCCGCTCACACTCGCTCTAACTACGGACGCAAGCATTCGGCACGCACAGGCACACACACGGAACTCAACATGCAGGAATAGGATACAGTGCTTTAAAATAAGATGAGAATTCATCACAGCCTCCTGGCAGCCCTCAGAGGCAGCTCCGAGCCCAGCCCCATCCCCGTGCCAGCGGCGGTGCCGCCGGCAGGACCGGGTACCCTGTTTCTGCCTTCCTGTTAAATCCGCCTCGGGGAGCAGCGGGCGGGGGGTTTGCGGCCCCTCGGACACGGGTGCAGTCTGGGGCTCTGACATTGTGCTCTGGGGCAGGTGTTCTCCTGCAGCCTGGGCAGCTCCCTGAATTCCCATCACACCCTGTTCCAGGAGCCTTCTCACAGCGCTGCTACGTGCCCGGGGCCTGCCCAGCTCCCCGAATCCGCAGCGTGGGGTGTCACCCACCACCAGACCGGGGGGCTCTGGGCCCCCCTCACTCCAGGAAAACCAAAGAACTGTCCGGAGGGCACGGAGCCATCAGCTCCTGCCCCTGGAGTGCCTCTGCCAGCCCTCCCAACACGGTGAATATTGCTAGAGTATAGGCAGCACCTCCCTGCCGAGGCAAGGCAGCTGTGGAGCTGCCCTGAAGGGATTGCCACCGGATGAAAGGAAATCTGAGCACTGTTCTCTGAGAAATGAAACCTGTGTAGGGTTAAGATCTCCTACAGCTATGGCTGACCCTCCTCGGGTGGGAGCTGGAAGCGGCAGGTTAGTGGAGAGCGGAGCAGGGGCTGGCAGTCGGGAGGATCGAGTGGGGAAACAGGAGCCCTTCCTCCCACCCCGGTGGGACTTTGCTCTGATGAATTCTCGGGCAGGTTTAACACCTCCTCTCCCTGGCAGCCAGGAGGGAGCCTTTGAGGCCGTGCGGGAGGCGGGGACATGCTGGGCTGGCAGCAGTCACAGAAGCAGGAGAGGGCCATGCCAGGGCACCACTGGCTCTGGCAGCTGAAAGGCTGGTGAGGATGGCGCTGCTGCTGCCAGGAACCTGCCCTGCTCCTGCTAGAAGGATGGCTCGGGCAAGCCGACGACACACACGGGCCAGGACTCGTGGCAGGGGCTGTCAGTGCAAAGGTGGTGACTTGTAAGTCTGTGAATATCAGAAACGGGTGAGGTCCCACAGCGGGATGGGGAAAAGTCCTAAAGTGCCGATACAGGGATCTGTACTGTACAGGAGCACAAGGGCAGACAGAGGAATCACTGAGGAAAGAGGAATTCAGCCCCCAAGCATCAGCTGTGCTCGGAATCCCCCCCCCATTTCTGCCACCACAAGCAGTGAGGGCAGGCTGGGCTCTGGCTGCACCGAAGGTGCCACAGCCAGGTGTAACTCCCACTTTTCCAGTCCAAGCTCAGAGGTTACACCACCAAGAGGAGGACAAGCACTCCAGAGCATGTCTCTCCACAGCTCCCAGCTGCAGATAACCACTGAGCTCCCGTCTGGAATCGGGTGATGTCCCAGCCAAGCCCCCAGGGCATCCTCCCAAATCAGAGCCGCTTTGTGGTGCAGAGGTGAAGCAGATCAGGCAGGTAGTAGTGCAAGTATTGCTCAACACAGCCTTGAAAATCAGATACTACAGGTCTGACAGAGGGAGCAATGAGAAGTGAGTTATTTATCAATTTGTGAGCACAGCTGAACACCAGAGGTCGAGACCACTGTGACTAAGAGATGAGCCACCACTAATCATCCTCCCGTTCCACGCTGTCAGCCTGGAGGAAGATGGTGGGTGAGTCAACAGGAAAAAAGTTCCACCCTCCCTCCCTCCTCAAACCCAAACAGCACCAGGTTGTTTTTCATCAGGAAACAAGCGCCTCTTCTGACCAGAGCTCCAGAGCAGGACACTGGGACTTTTCATCTGCCTGGTGGCACCTGCATTACTCATTTGCTGAGATGCCTCTTCCCCCAGGCAGTCTGGGTGCACAGGGATCAACACCTTGAGTCACTCCAGGAAACAGTTTGATGGACACAGAGGCCTTTCACCAGCAGACCCAGTTCACATGCGACAGGAGGGCAAAGGTAGGACAGAAGGAGGCTTTAAACATGCTTTAAAGGTGAGCAGCCCCACAGAGACACACAGCTCACCTCCAGCAAAGGCCACACCACACTGCTTCCAATTCTAACCTTAAAATACCATCATAAACAACCTCTGACCCGGGAAATCCCTCCGGAGAGTACCACAAGCTCAACTGGCTCAGCTGAGCCACAAGAAACAGCAATAACCTTAAAACCAGCCTTTCTGCACTGTTGGCTTATACCCTAGAGAGCCCTTTCCAGGGGAGAGGAAGAGGTGGTAGCAGTACTGTCGAGCTGATATTTCCCGTGGGAAAACAACCAGTGCCAGACAACAACCTCTCCAAGAAGCCTGCCTGCCTTTGGGACACGGATTTTGGAGCAGTGCAGGTCTCACAGCAAGTCTCAGCCAGGTCTAAGCCATGCAGGGGAATCCCAGGCTGCACACAGGAACTTCCCAGGCTCAGAAGGAAGATCACATTCATCTCCAGCACTGTCTCACATCGTCACCAAACAGAGGTTTAAAAAAAAATAAAACCAAACAACGCATCAGCTCTTGTAAGATCTCAGCTGTTCTCGCCCCAAAATCAGCGTTAAAAAGAAATAAAACCAAGATTATCTTTCCTAGCAAGGCTTTTCTGGCTCAGAAGTGCCACAGGGGCTGCTACTGCCACATGGCAGCGGGCAGAGCAGCCCGGGCTCAGCATCTCCGACGAGACTCCGCAGGGAAGCGCCGCGCCCAGGCACAAAGCTTTCGGCACTGACAGGAACAATCTGGGAGTGTCACCACGCTGGTGGCACGTCCTTTATGGCACAGAAGCTTTGAAAGGAAAAGTTCTCAGTATCCAGGCTCAGAGAGCAGTAGTTCTGCCCCGTCCAGAACCATCCAGGAGCCCCAGGAGAGGTAGTTGTGACACGGCAACGGCTCAGCCAGGAGCAGCACGCGGGAACGCCAGCCTTGTTTGACCACAAAGCACAAACGTCAACTCCCCAAGAAAAAAAAATAAAATAAACTATTACAGATACAACGTGGAATCCAGTACATTCATCCCTGATCTCTCCTGAGCACTAGTACCTCACCAGCCAGGCAGCCTGTGCTAACAGCCTGCTGTCTCAGCGTAGCTCCAGCTGAATCGCATCGTTTCCCCATCACAAAAAGCACCTAAAAATGAGGGCACTCACCCTCATTCAGTTCCCTTCTCTCCTTTGAAAGCCACCCCTGACATCACCCGCTTTGAGGAATCCCAGTCTCCCTCCAGCCTTCTCAGAGGTCGCCCAGCAAATAGGACGTGACAAATGAACAAGGCACAGTGCTCTACATTCACGGCAGCCGGCGCCTCGAGGCCCAGCGTCAGGGAGTGCTTCCACCTTCCTGATTTTAACAGAGCTGGGGGGAAGTGGCAAACACTTCCTGCAGAGAAGCACATGTGCCTCCACCGTGCTCCCACCCACCCAGGGACAAGCTGTCCTGCGAAGTGCCAGGAAACTCAGCAAATGCAGGAAGGGACACCATCGGCAGGGCTGCGCACAGACCTGCCACCCTGCCAGGGAGCTCTGAGCTGCACTCACATGACACACCAGTGGATTAAAAACTTCACGTGGCCTTGACATCTCCCCTCTGGTCTCTGCCCTGGCTCCACGGAAGGGACTGGCAGGGCTCTGGCAGAAGCGTGCAGAGCACTGTGTTCTTTCAGGGGCTGCACACTAGTGTGTGTTGATCCCCCAGACAGCCCCACCTCTCTCCCTGCCACAATCCCCCCGGGATGCTGCCAGGACCCTCTTTAAAGGTTAACAGTGCCCCTTCTAACATTTACAGAGTGCCTGATGGTTTATGCGATGGAACACATACGCTCTTGGCCACAGGGAACACCCGGGAATCTGCTCCCACAGACACGGCTTCCTGTGGAGCAGAGACACAAACCCCTCGGCCCCTTCCCGGCGCGGGAGAGCTACTGCAGACAGCGGCGATGTCAAGCACGGATGAGCTCTGTCAGACTCCGAGCACACGGGCACACGGCCTGGGCAAGGCTAGATTTTGTACAAAAAGCTGGGGACGTAGTCAAATCTGAGCAGGGGGCTCCCCCCCTGCCCCGGTTCCTGAATGTAGTGCAGCTTCAGCAGCTCGGCCAAATACTGCACGATTTTGACATCTTCGTTGGCGAGGCCCAGCTGAAGCTTCAGGAAGTTCATCCTGCGGTTCACGACGGATTCCTCCGGTTCCCTTTCGCTGATGGGGAGGTGCAAATGATGGCAGAAGGTGAAGAGGAAGGCTTTAGAGCACAGCTGGGTGAGGATGCTTTGGACGTGCATGTAGTAGGTGCTGCCCCGCTTGATCTGGGTGCGGTGGTCGGCCAGCCGGGCCACCACGGTGCCCTTGTAGAGGGGGCAGCGCAGAGTCTTGCTGTCGGCGTCCAGGATGCTCAGGTAGCGGCTGTAGCGGCTCAGGGCGTGCAGCACGTTCACCCCCGCGGGGGACACCGTCCTGCAACGGCAAGGAGAGAGGTCACGGCTGGAGGGGAGCTGTGTCTGTGCCCTGTGCCCCACGTGCTTTCCCTCACACCAGGTCACGAGCTCTGTGGGAGAATGAGGTCCTAGCATGGAAGAGAGGGGACAAACAGCCTCTCCAGCCTGACAGGTCCCAAAGAAACCTCGACTCCCTGGCCCACATGTGCCCTGATCTGCACTGCGTGTGTGCTACTGCATAAACCCCCCCACTTTGGATCAGATTCCTTCCTCAGTAACACAGACAGGGAGTGATGGGACATCTCTGGTGCACAGACACAAACTTTGCAGCAGCTGGAAGCTTTTGGATGTGACAACAGGGACTCAGAAACCCAAACCAGCCCCCTCTCTCCATGAGCTCCTCTTTCCCCCGCATCGCTTCGGGAAGGAGCTGCTCTGAGGTGGTCGAAGCCCTGAGTGGAGCAAAACCTTCCACCTTTCCTTTAGAAAAGGGAATAAAACCAGAATACTCCCTGGCAGAGCCTGTCCATTTGTCACTCAGGTGCAAACCCACAACACACAATTACCCACCAAGCTTGGCCTGATGTTATTTAAATGCAAATCACGAGCCCACACAAACCTTCAGCTCCTCCATTCTCTGTCTCTTTGGTGACAGTCGCTGGGCTGATACAGCTCCCAGCCTCCAACTGGGAATCCCAACTGGTGTAAGGGCTGCCCCCGTGCCCAGGCAGCCCCTGGCCTTAGGAGAGGCAGGATCCTTACCAGAACAAATTATTTAGCCTGGACGTTCCTTCCCAGAGCCCTCGTACAAATGGTTTGCTGAGAGCACCCACATTAAACCCAACACTTAATTAACATTCCAAGGAGGAGAGCTGAAATGACTGACACACGTTACAGGCAGCGCTTAAAAAAAGATTTCTGTTTATAAAAATTGCATCTAACCACAAACATTGAGCAACGAGTAAACACTTGGGGCTTTTAAAAACCTCACTGACAGACAGAGAGCTCGTGAGCAGCTGTTGCAGAGCTGTCATCCCACCTCATGAGCACAGAAATGAGGGTGAACTCACAGCTTTGGGTAATTTCACCATCCACAACCCCCAGCAGTGCAATACTCTGTGGCCCAGAAAGCAGGTTTCTGTGGCTTAAGTTCTACACTGCTCAGGAACACTCTTTCAGGAGCTATTCCAGCCCGGCTCTGAGTGCTGGGCTGCCACTCTGACTTATGTTTTCCACACTGGTGACAGCAATGGCCATTCCCTGTCACACCTGCACCCAAACACGTCCTGCTAACACACGAAAAAATCCTTTTCATAACAGCAACAAAGGCAGGGCTGAAATCTTGAGCTGAGCAATCCCTGTTTGCCAACATGAGCTCAGCAGGACTCAGGTGTTTGCTCTCCACTTTGCCAGGCAAAAACCCAAACCAGAAGGAAACCTCCTGGCCAAATAACTCACCTGAGGCAGGCAGCAAACACCCAGCACTTTTTAAATATTACCTCTCAAGTGAGGCTGGACATAAAGAGACATATCTACCCCAAAATAAATCCCACCAGCAGAAATCCGTGGGAGCTGTGTAGGTTAATTAGAGACCTCCCCTGCACACTCCCTCCCCCTCTGAGATGGAAGTTCTTACCACACACCTCCACACCACCAAAGCAAACAGATCCTTGGATTTACCTCTGGAGTCCGATCAACTTCCACTTCTGGAAATCCACCAGGTGCAGGGGGGAGGTGACCCAGTGCTTGACGGGCTTGGCGTACGCGCCGCAGTTGGGCACGAAGATGGACAGCGCCGTCACCAGCTTCTTGACCATGGCCTCGTCCTCCCCCAGCACCACCAGGGTCCTGCCGCTGAGCAGGGAGTAGATGGCGGGGTGGGCAAAGGGGTATTGCCGGATGAACCGCAGCGCGTTCTGCCCGGCCCTCTTCCTGTGCCTCTCCCCGGCCGGGCAGGCGACACGGGCGGGAGAAGGGGTCCTGTCGGAGCACGTGGAGGCGGCGCTGCTGATGTAGCTCGTGGAGTCCGAGCACTCGTCCAGGCTGCTCTTGCTGACCTCCCTGCTGCCCGACAGGTAGCGCGAGTCGAGCTCGTAGGGCAGGAGCCCCCCCGGGGCGCCGTCGTGGGCGGGGAAGCCCCCGCGCAGCCCCTGCTCGGCCGCCCGGTACGGCTGCGGCGGGATCCGCACCACGCCGTCCTCCTCGCACGCCTTCTGCCCCAGCTCGGGCAGGGGCTCCAGGAAGTTGGGGCTCTCCTTCCCGATGCAGCAGGCAGCGTCCACCTGCACCAAGCTCTCCTGCTTGGAGACGTCGTCCCGCTCATCGACAACGCCCGGGCTCAGTCTGGGGGCGAAGCGAAGGCCGCGCTCGTCGTCGTTGTCCGCGTAGGGCTCCTCGTTAATGGCACTTGGGTAGCTCGCCTTGAAGTCCTCCGGGATGAGGGACTCGGAGGGACACGTGCTGAGCACCTCGATGCTGTCCTCGCTGACCGTGCGCCGGCTGCCCACCTTGCTCCGGCCCGCCTGGGGGCTGGGCATGACGGGCAGGCTGGCTTGGCTCTCCGACTTGGTCAGCCCCGAGCCCGACTTCTCCGTCCCCAGCACCTCGATGCTCTCCCCGCTGCTGATGCTGCCTTTGATGTCTGCATCCAGGTAGTCCAGGTTCTCCTGGGGCTCGGACGTCACGGACTCGGACATTTTGGGTTCTTCGGAGTCCTCCATCTCCTGCTCCATCTTGATGGGCACACACTCCACGCTGGACTTGTAGGAGCCCAGGCTGACGACCACTTTAGGGGTGAGGGGCTCTTCCAAACACTTTCCATCCATGGCATCTTGGCCGAGCCCCTGGCAGCCTCTGTACTGTTTTTCAGGAGGTTTTTCATCCAGAAAAGACACATCCTCAAAGAGGAAGTTGGTGACGCTCTGCTGCTTCAGGAGCGCCCGGCTGATCTGCTCCGTCAGGAGGTAACACACGTCACCTCGGAAAGTCCTCTCGATATGGTGCAGCTGGTCAAGGGTTTGGGTGAAAAAATAAACATCACAGAGCTCCTCCAGCGTCTTCAGCTTCTTGTCAAAGCACTTGGCAGACTTGGCTTTGATGAGCTTGGGGGTGTAGGACGGGATGTGGGTGTAAAGGTGCGTCTCACCGGGCTCTGCAGGGTCAGAGGGGGCCGAGTCCTGATCACAGCCCGTGCCAACCCGATCCAGTGCACACTCCGGCTCGTAGGGGTGGAACTCTGACTCCTTCAGCTTCCTGTAGGGATAGGACCGGATCTGTCTCAGCAGGTCCTGGTGCTCGATGATGGACTTTTCCACACTGGCCAGCTCGTTGGCCTTCTCGATGGCCTGGGTCGTGTAATACCCCTTGTCGTTGGCTTTCTTCTGCGCCTCGGTCTCGTTGTGCAGGACAGTCCTGGTGTAGTCGAGGTCTCTCAGTTTCTTTTCCAGCTCGTTGGCAAAGGCTTTCCGGTTCCCCGTCTTGAGGCATTCGGAGGCTTTGGAGAACTCGGCGGAGAGTTCCTGAAACTGCTGCATGATTTTGTGCTCGTCAGCAGAGATGTAGGCCATGCAGAAGGGCCTCACGAAGCCACGGGCTTCCAGGTCGTACAGGGTCAGGTGGTGCACGTAGGCGAAAGCCCCTTCCTTGGAGTCCCCCAGCACCACCTTGGAATCCTCCACGAAGTTCAGCTTCGGGTAGGCAGAGCCGGGGGGGTGCCCCACGAAGGACGCCTGGTAATCCACAGACATGATCCGCAGGGAGAAATAGTTGAGGTCGAAGGTGCCCGACACCTTGGCGTCATCGGGGATGGTCAGCAGGGGCTGGGGCCCCACCTGCTCCGAGAACTCGGAGATGAGGATGAAGTCCCGGGTGAACTTGGAGCCGGCGACCTTGGCCCAGGGGTTGGCGCCGTGGCCGGCGAAGGGGAACAGCGGCACCGAGTACTCCTCGGGCAGGGGCGGCTCGCGGTACAGATCATCCTCCAGCTCCTCCTCCCTGGTGAAGGCCACCACGTCAGGGGCGCTGATCATATTTCCCGCAGGACGGGGCCGACATGGAGCAGCGCCGCGCCCCCGGTCCCCTCCCGCCGCGGGAGGCGCCGCCGCAGCCCCGTGCCGCCCTCACGCCGCCGCCCCGGCCCGGCCCCGCCGCCGCCGCAGCCCCGGGTGCCCCTCACGCCGCCGCCATGGCCGGAGCCGCCTCCTCACGGCCCCGCAGCCATCTTGGCGTCACATGACGCGCGGCCTCCGACCCCGCCGCCAGGAAGCGGCGCCGCCCCCGCCTCCCCCTCGCCCGCGGCTCTGGCTGATTTTTCTACCGTCGTCGTCCTTTTTCCTTACCGATCCCGTGACGGGCCCGGCGGCGGCGGGAAAAGGGGGAAACCGAGGCGGAGCGGCGGCGGGGGTCACACCGAGGAGGAGCCGCGGGGGCTTTCGGGAGTTGTAGTTCCCTGGAGCCGCGGGGCATGCCGGGAGTTGCAGTTCTCTCTGCGGCAGGACGTGACGGTGAGGGGAGAGCGCGGGAGGGAGGGAGGTGAGGCGGGGAACGGGGAGAACCGGGGGGGAAAGGGCCGAAAAAGGGAGAAAAGAGGAGAGCTGAGGGGGAGAGGGGAGGGCAGGGGCTGCCCTGGGTGAGGGAGAGTCCCGGGCGGGCCTAGGAGGGGCTGCCCAGCGTGAGGGAAAGCCCGGCCGTGGTGGGGGGAAGCGGAGCGGGGACCCCAGCGATGTCTTTGTGGCCGCAGGGACGCGGAGCACCACCATGCCCTGTCCCCGCCGGAGCCGCCCCTGCCCCCCGTGATGATCGTGCAGGCCAGGCTGTTGGCCAGGGGCAGGATGCTGCCCCAGCCCTGGCGCCTCTTCTCCCGGGCCGCCGAGGACGGGGCACTCCGGAGGATCCGCAGGGTGCTGTGCGTGGCTGAGAAGAACGACGCTGCCCGAGGGATCGCCGATCTGCTCTCCAACAGCAGGATGCGGCGGGTAGGGACACGCCACATCCCACTGCCTCCTGGGACATGCAGGGACACGCCACATCCAGCTGCTCCATGGGACACCATGGGGTTTAGATGGGGTTTAGCTGGCTGGGGAAGGGCAGCAGCACAGCCCTGGCCTCAGCTGTGCTCTGTGTGGCAGCCCCAGGTCCCCAGGCCTGCCTCCCGCCTCGCTGAGACTTGTGGAAGTTTCTAGGTTGTGTGTTTGTTGCTTTTTTCCTACAGGAACGGGATGGTTTCTTCTTTCGTTGGGACGCTCAGGTTCTCAGTAACACCTCACAGTCAAATAAATAAGGTGGTGTGTGAGGTGGAGGGTTGCCTCTTTTCCCAGGTAACAAGTGACAGGAGGAGGAGAGGAAACGACCTCAGGCTGGTTTTTGTCACTGGACACTCCTGACCCCATGAGGGTACAAGAATGGCCTTTTTCTGTGGACAGAAAATCTCTAGATTTGCAGCGTGTGCCAAAGGCTTCAGGAACTGAAACCATCCGTTGGCATTTCCCCTGTCAAAAAGCACCTCTTCTGCAGCATCAGCAAGTGTCAGGGGTTTACTGGAGTTCACAGAATAAAGCAAAGATGGCCTGTGGTTTGGAGAAGAGGAATTCAAAGATCTGTCCTCTCTGCTGCTCTGGTTTGTGACCTTTAACAGTTTGCATAATCACTTAGTTTCCAAACTAAGGAACTAGAAGGTGATTCTTGAGCAGAATCAGAGAATCACTGAGGTTGGAAAAGACCTCCAAGATCAAGTCCAACCTGTGACCAATCCCCACCTTGTCCCCCAGCCCAGAGCACTGAGTACCACGTCCAGTTTTTCCTGGAACACCTCCAGGAATGGGGACTCCACCACCTCCCTGGGCAGTTCCAGTGCTTGACCACCCTTTCCAAGAAGAATTTCTTTGTGATGTCCAGCCTGAACCTCCCCTGGCACGGCCTGAGGCCATTTCCTCTTACCTGGGAGAAGATCCCAACCTCATAGAACCTTCTTTATTTGACTGCAAGGTGTTATGGAGAACCTGAGCGCTGACAGTCCCAGTCGAGGAAGAAACTGTCCTGCTTCTGTAGCAAAAAGCAGCAAATACACAATCTAGAAACTTCTCCTGGTCTGAGGTTGGAGGTAGCCTTGGGGGCCCGGAGCTGGGACACTGCTTGTCATTTGGAGCAGGACAGGTGTTTGTCAGGAGTTTCTGTGATTCCATGATCATTGGCCAGCCCTGTTAAACAAATCAGTTCTTCGTTATCCATGGGGAGATAACCCTGGAATCATCTTCAGGGATGGTTTAAAATACTCTTACCTTGGAAATTACCATTTCAGTGTCTCCATAAATGATAACAGGCAGTTTCCATTCCCCTGCTGTAATTCCCATCAGTCCCAGGATCTGCTTTTTCCCTGCCTCCTGTGCTCCATCACAGCGTGTACAAAGCGAGGCAGGATGGATTTGTTTTCTGTTAGACAACAGAAACTCAGGAACTCTCCTTTCCCTTCCAGAGAGAAGGGTTTTCCAAGTTCAACAAGATCTACGAATACGACTACCAGATGTTTGGCCAGGTAGGAGTTCCCTTTCAATCCCTGGAAGTGTTCCACGCTGGAAAAGGCTTGGAGCCTTGTCCCTGTGGCAGGGGATGGAACAAGATGAGCTTTAATGTCCCTGCCAACCCAAACCCATTCTGGGATTCTGTCATTAACAGGAGAGAGGTGTCACTGGTGGTGTGAACTGAGCACTGGAGGAAGATTTGGGGGCTGTGGGTAGTTTTTAGTGAACGATGGGCACTAATTACCTCGCTAATTACCTCGCTCTGTCTCTTGCAGACCGTTACCATGGTGATGACATCCGTGTCAGGACACTTACTGACTCACGAGTTTAAGATGCCATTTCGCAAATGGTTGGTACCTCATGCCCTTGGCAGAGAGGGGTCTGTCACCTCCAGGGCTCCACGGGAAGGGGTCTGTCACCTCCAGGGCTCCACAGGAAGGGGTCTGTCACCTCCTGCTCTTGACCCTGAGCCGAGTGAGGCACTGTGAGCTGAAAGACAGGGGTGCAGGGAGGGACTCTGACACAGAGCAGGGTGATGAGATCTGAATTTTATGGAGAATACTAAAATATTGTTTCAAATTCCTATTTTTCAGAGTGCTGTCTTTTGATTCTGTTAAGTGTTACTCAGCATTTCACGTGAACTCTGTGTTGTCTGAGATAGGCCTGTAATAAAATATGTTATTAATTCCAGCACTTAGACAGCACTAGTTATGTCTCACAATATATGTTTTAGTTGTTGTGATGCACACTGTTTATCCTTTGTTCCCCAGGCATAGCTGCAACCCTTTAGCTCTTTTTGATGCTGAAATTGAGAAGTATTGCCCTGAAAATTACCTGGATATCAAGGTACGTCGTGGTCAAGCGTTGCCCTGAAACTGAGTTCAGGGGTTGATTCAACAAATGCTGTCCCAGACAGAGGGATGATTGTCCTTAACATCCAAATTTCTAGTTTAGCAGATTCCTCCTGCATTTCCTAGGACTATTAATGCTGTTTGTTTGAACACTGAAACTCTCCTGCTCATGCACAAGTAGTGCAGTAAAGGAACAGCTACTTTGCTAAAGATAGAAATGTTTTTTTCCAGCAAGGTGGGACTGGTGATTGTGTCTCAGTTTTACAAAAAAACCTACATTTTTAGAAAACAGATTGTGGTACAGCCCGCTCCTAGCCAAGCTTTTTAACAGAATTAGATATAAATAAATGACTCAATTCTTTTGAAAGCTGCCTAATCTCATGAGACACACAATTAACCAAATGTTATTGCAACAATCCATCTCCATGGATACGCGTTGCATTTCGTGTGCAGTGAGTCATTCCAAAATTAAATGACAAAGCGAGTGGCCTGGAATGTCTCCCTGTGTTGTTTTCTGCTCTCAGAAAACCCTTGAGCGAGAAATCCGGCAGTGCCAAGCCCTGGTGATCTGGACTGACTGCGATCGGGAGGGGGAGAACATCGGCTTCGAGATCATCCACGTGTGCAAAGCGGGTGCGTAGAGCGTCTTCAGCAGTCTGGGTTCCGTTAAAAGCTTAACAGCCCCTCAGGGGTCTTTTGGCAGAGGTGTGTTGTCAATCATCCTGTGTCCAGGTTGAATGCTGACTGTAGTTCTGATAAATATATGTGGCTCTGATAAAGCAGAAATTCGTTCAGCTGTTGGAAAGCTGTCGAGCAGGTCGGCGGCGCAGCCTTTTGAAGGCGGCTGTTTATCAGTTGCTCCTCTCAAGTTGGTGCTTGGGTCAGTCTGATTTCTTTCTCGTGTGTGTCTGGCAGTCAAGCCAAACCTCCAGGTTTTCCGAGCCCGTTTCTCGGAGATCACCCTTCATGCCGTCAGGTCAGCCTGCGAGAACCTCACCCAGCCGGACCAGAGGACGAGCGACGCCGTCGACGTCAGGCAGGAGCTGGACCTCAGGATAGGTCTGTAAACGTCTCATCCTGTATCCTCAGCACAAGGCAGAAATGCCCTCCGTGGTGTCACACACCTGATTTTTCGATCAGATGCAACTTAATGGCATCTCGTTTTACTGGAAAACGTGCTCTCTGAATGAGAGAATCATTTAGGTTGGAAAAGACCAGAGCGCTGAGTGCCTCATCCAGTTGTTTCTTGAACATCTCCAGGGATGGTGACTCCACCACCCCCCGGGGCAGTCCATTCCACTGTTTAACAACCCTTTCTGAAGGGTTTGTTTCCCTCCCAAAAGGAGGAAATTGCTCCTTGAAGCAGATATTAAGTTTATAGCCCACACAGCACTGACAAGCCTCTGCAACTGAGTATTAAACAGAGTAAAATTAATGCTCAGAGTATTAAGGAGAACCATCTGAAGTGCTGTGATTATCATTCAACATTGTTGCATTCAGTTCTGGTGCCCATTTTGTTTTCCCAGGTGCTGCCTTCACCAGGTTCCAGACGCTGAGGCTGCGGAAGATCTTCCCCGATATTTTAGCAGATCAGCTGATCAGCTACGGTAGCTGCCAGTTCCCAACGCTGGGATTTGTAGTTGAACGCTTCAAAGCCATCCAAGCCTTTGTTCCTGAAGCCTTCTACAAAATTAAAGGTATGTTTGGGGAAAACCAGTCCTGGGCTCTATCTCAGAGGGTTCGATGTGCATAGGAAGGAAAAACATTGGAGCAGAGAGCACACAGCGCTGCAGAGGTGGTTTCCTCTTCCTCTTCTGGGACCACGGAGCAGAACTGGAAGGTTTCCAGGTGCTTTTGTGATGTTTCCATTTCGTGACTCCTCTGTCAGCCAGCTCTGTTGTTCCCCACAGTGACCCACGACCACGAAGACGGCAGTGTGCTCTTCAACTGGAAGAGGAACCGGCTCTTCAACCACACAGCGTGCCTGGTCCTTTACCAAATGTGTATGGAGGTAGGAAAGCTTGTAAATAGTTCTGTAATCCAAATTCAGCCAAACATTCCCTGTATCAAGATGTTTAAAGAACGGTTTGTGCAAACTCTTCAAGGAGATTTGGGTTTTGCTTACTCTGTTTAGGATCCGGTGGCGACTGTTGTTGAGGTGGCGAGCAAGCCAAAGAGCAAATGGAGGCCCCTGCCCCTGGATACTGTGGTATGTTTGAACTCTGGAAAGGACTCCTCTAAAAGGAGCTGTGAACAGATGTTTTACTCACCACCCTGAATTAATGCACTAATGCTTCTGGGTTTTTTCTGGCCCTTCCCACCGCAGGAACTCGAGAAGTTGGCGTCCCGCAAACTGAAAATAAACGCAAAGGAAACCATGACAATAGCAGAAAAACTCTACACTAAAGGGTAAGAAAGCAAGACCTGGCTTGGTAAACTTCATTATTTTGAAAGTAAATGGTGTTTTGTCCAAACTGGGAAGCATCTTGGAGCACCCCTTTAAGCGCTCTCCTGTCTTTCTTCCTAAGGTTCATTAGCTACCCCCGAACTGAGACCAACATTTTCCCCAAGGAGCTGAACCTCTCAGCCTTGGTACAACAGCAAACACAGGACCCAAACTGGGGAGCATTTGCACAGAGGATTTTGGATCAGGGTGGGCCAACCCCTCGGAGTGGAACCAAATCCGATCAGGCTCATCCTCCCATTCACCCCACCAAATACACCGCTAACCTGCAGGTGGGTGAAACCAGAGGTAACTCGTTTGTGTTGCTTGGTAAATAAAGATAACAGCCTTAATAACGTGGTCATCAGCACAGGATCCTCACCCGAGATCCCACTGATTTCTGGATGTCTCATTAACGCTGTCTCCTTTCACTGTTTGGTGTCAGGGCAACGAGCAGAGACTCTACGAGTTCATCGTGCGCCATTTTTTGGCTTGCTGCTCTCAAGATGCCAAGGGGCAGGAAACAACTGTGGAGATCGACATTGCCAACGAGCGATTCATTGCTCAGGGACTGATGATCCTGGCCCGAAATTACCTGGAAGTCTATCCTTACGACAAGTGGAGCGATAAGGTAATCCCCTTGAGTAACGTAGGTGGGAGAGGCTAAAGTAGCATTTCACTGCCAACTTCAGACCCCCCCTGCAAAACATCCTTTAACCATTTCTGGTTGTTTCACCGAGAGCTTTCTCTGCTGGAAACCTGCGCAGGTTTATTGTGCCAGCTTTGGGTAGATTCTCACACCGCAGCAGAAACCATTCAGGGTTGTAGGGTTGACTTTACCCACCAACAGCAGCTGTTCCATGGTCTCTCTGGCAGCTCATTGCTTGCTGGTCCCAAGGCCCCTGAGGCTGGATTCCCTCCAGACCAGGCTGCTGCTCTCTGACTGCACTGGCTGTTGGTGTGGCATTTTGTCCTGAGCGAATGGACCGGGAAGCAGTTTCAAAGAGATTCTCCTTTCCTTCAGGTCATCCCAGTGTATCAGAAAGGGTCTCGCTTTCAGCCCACCACGGTGGAGATGGTGGATGGGGAAACCAGCCCTCCATTGCTCCTCACGGAAGCAGATCTCATTGCTCTCATGGAGAAACATGGCATTGGTCAGTATTGGCAGCGTGGCCTCTCACTCTTGGCTGAGGGAATTCTCTAAATGTTACTTCAGATAAGAAGAAATCACCTAAAAAAGCAGAACAAAGGGATATAGAGACCTGTGGGCAAAGCCCAAACACCCTCCAGAGCCTGCAGAGCGCCTCCAGTGCCCAGGGAGATGGGCAATTTCAGGTCCAGGGTGTGCCGCCAGCGCCAGTGGGGCTTGAGGGCAGTGCTCACCATAAGCTGTGTCCTTGTTCCTTTAGCTCTTGCACTCTCCCCCAGGCACAGAGGAAGTAGCTCCTCGGCACCTGCTCCCACTGACCGCTGTCTGCTTGCAGGGACCGACGCCACTCACGCCGAGCACATCGAGACGATCAAGACGCGGATGTACGTGGGCCTTACAGCGGATCAGCGGTTCCTGCCCGGCCACCTGGGCATGGGGCTGGTGGAAGGTGAGGGCAGTGCCCGCCAGGAAGGTGGCAGGTTCCTTATTTTCACCTTCCTTTTGCTTATCATTCCGTATATTCCTCAGGCTATGATTCCATGGGCTACGAGATGTCCAAGCCTGACCTCCGGGCTGAGCTGGAGGCTGATCTAAAACTGATCTGCGAGGGGAAGAAAGACAAATCTGTAGTGTTGCAACAGCAGGTCCAAAAGTACAAGGAAGTCTTCATTGAAGCCGTGGCCAGAGCCAACAAGTGAGTCCTGCCTCTGCCCTCTTCCCTTTGCTTTGCTGCTCTGGGAGATGCTGCTGCTCATCTGGGCCTCAGCCTGGAGTGGGGGATCCTGTCACACTGTTTCCCTGGAGCTCTGCCCGGTGTGTGTAGGCATTTGCACGGGAAGGGATGACTCGAAGCCTGGCATAGCTGTCATGAGTTCCTGCCAGCTGAAGGTTTAAACCAAGATGAGCAGTTAAGATTAAATTTGGGGATGGCAGCGTGCACTGACCTCTTCGATGCTGTTCCCACACCTTCCCCGTTACAGAGATGTGGTGCTGAATCAACGTGCTCACAGAGAAGCTCGGAGGGGCTGTGTGGGGGGCGGCAGGTGCTGAGTCACTGGAGCACCTGATTGCTCCTTGCAGAGACACACAGGATGCTCTGCCTGTTTCTTTACAGGTTGGATGAGGCCCTGGCTCAGTACTTTGGAGAAGCTGCAGAAATTCCAGAGCAGGATGAGGTGTACCCAGCAATGCCCGTTTCCGTTCGGAAGTGTCCGCAGTGCAACAACGACATGGTCCTGAAGACCAGGAAGAATGGCGGGTTGGTGACCTCCCCCTCTTGTAGCACCTTCTGTGCTGGCTTATGTTTTCCCAGGCACTTGTTTAGCTCCTTTGGTAAAAACTCGGAAGCCTTAGGCTGCAGCTCGCTGACTCCACCAGCTCCATAAGCTGTGTGGACTCAGCTGAACCTCTTCTCAAGTAGGTATTTGCCCTTTAAAACTGTGGGTTTGACAATTTCTGATGGCTGAGAAGACAGGATAACAGATCACGGACTGTCTTGACTTTGCCTCTTCCTCATCTGCTGCCTTTGTCCCGCTGCAGGTTCTACCTGAGCTGCATGGGCTATCCAGCCTGTAAAACTGCAGTCTGGTTCCCTGATTTTGTGCTGGATGTGACCAGGGACGAGAGCATATGTGATGTGTGTAAACCCCATCCAGTTCACAGGTAGGTCATACCAGTTATCCCTTGGGGGAACACAGCCCTCAGGCATTACCTGAGGGTAATCAGACTTCCATGGGCTAGGCTGGGAACCATTTTCCATTCCAGTCTTGGAAAGCTGAAGCGTGGTGCGTAATCCACAGGGCCTGGGGGTGGAAAGAAGAAAGAGGGTTGGAGCAACTGGTCTACGAATAGCAGAATCAAAAAAAATCAGTAAAAGTTCAAGTCTAAATTGAGGTCTGTTGATGAGAAATGAGATGAACTGGGAGACTTTTGACTCCTCCTTTCCTCCGTAGACTGAAGTTTAAATTCAAGAGAGGCAGCGTCCCGCCCGTGATGCCCCTGGAGTTCGTTGGCTGCATTGGAGGCTGCGATGAGATGCTGAGGGAGCTCTTGGACCTCAAGTACCTGCACAGACCATCCCAGCCCGTGTCATCAGCCGCCCAGCCACCACAGCACCTGCAGGACAACCACTCTTTGAACAGATCCGGCGGCGAGAACAGGCAGGGGAGGGGGACCACGAACCCGGCTCGGGGACACCTGCTCTCCCTGAACATCTCCAACAGAACATCCCGGGACGCCGCTCCGGCGGCGGCGGAGGCCGGGAGCGACGCCGTGGTGTGTAACTGCGGCAGCGAGGCGCTGCTGCTCACCGTGCGCAAGGACGGGCCCAACCGCGGCCGCCGCTTCTACAAGTGCGGCTCCGGCTCCTGCAACTTCTTCCTGTGGGCCGACGACCAGGCCGAGGACGCCGCGGCTCCGTGGGGCTCTGCGCTCCCCCAGCCCGCGGCAGGGAGGGCCCCGGGAGGAGGGAGAGCCCCGGAGCCGTCGGGGAGCGGCGGTGCCGCGGTGTGCCGGTGCGACCAGCCGGCCGTGACGCGCACCGTGAACAAGGATGGGCCCAACAAGGGCCGGCAGTTCCACACCTGCCCCAAGCCCCGGGAGCAGCAGTGCGGCTTCTTCCAGTGGGCAGATGAGAACGTGGCACCAGGTGAGGCCGGGCTTGGGGCGGGACGCAAAGGCTGGAGGGTGTTCTTGAGCTAAACAGAGAGAGGAGCTGCTGGAGGAGGGTCCAGCAGAAGATGAGGGGTCTGGAGCGGCTCTCTGATGAGGAGAGACCATGGGAGCTGGGCCTGGTTAGTCTGGAGAAGACAGAGGGGATCTCATTAATGTCACCTGCTGTAGGTGACCCTGCCTTGACAGGGAGGGGTTGGATGGTCTCCAGAGGTCCCTTCCAACCCCAGCTATTCTGGAATTCTGTAAACTGAACACACCTCTCACACTTGCTCATGCTGCACAGCTCTTGTGGCACCTCATACAGTTAAGGCGTCGGGTTTGTCTTCAGAACATCTGTCAGCAGCTTTATAGCACTGCAAGTGTTGCTTTTAACAACAAAGTCTGGCTTACCTTTCCAAGTGCTGGCAGGATGCATCCTCACAGCACACATCTGAGCTCTGAGCAGGAGGCTTGCCTTCTGTGTGCAGAGAACTTGAGCATCTGTCTGTCCATGACTCACTGGATAAATCCCAGCACTCTTCCCAACAGTCTGATTGTCCTCTCAGATTACAGTTCCCAGCTTTGTGAGAGCTGTGACCGACTTGGTGCAGAGTTGAAGCAGTGGCACCACTTCTGGAGATCTTAAAACCCCACCCTGGCATGCCAGGGAAACTCCTCTGCTCCCTCTGCCCTAGTTTAGGGGTGCAGGGAAAGGCCAAGTCATTCTGGAGCTTTGATCAGAGATCAAACTGAGCGTGAGAAGATTCTGAAAACAAAAATAATCACAAAATCAGGATGCAAGAGAGAGAGCACCGACAAAGGGACAGCAACCAAGTACAGAGGGGGAGATGTGGTGTCTGTGAGGGATCTTCAGCACTGACCTTCTCCTCCTCCTCCTCCTTAGAAATGTGGGCCTAAAGGGGTAGAATCAAGTTTTCAAAACTACTTAAACCCCAAGTTTTCCTCTAGCATGTTTTATTTCTGCCTCAGCTGTAGACCAGAGCAGCTTCCCCATTCTGTTCCCACATGTCTCTGATGCTGCAAGATAAATGGGTTACATTTAACTGTTCAAAGAAGTCTGAAGCAAGTGCAGGTTTAGGAATAAGATATCTGAGAATCCTGCTATTTTGAGCTTACCTTCTGTTTCTCACCTGCTTATTTTTTCAAAGATCCTTAAATTTAAGTCGTTTCTCTCTAGGCCCTTCTGGAGATGTCTCTTGGAACAACTTTGGCAGCAGTGAACACTCAAGAGGGTTGGGAAGCAAAGCCAAGAGACCAGGCAGCTTCTCCTCAGGATCCACTGCCAAGAAACCACGGACCTGTAGCATTTGCCACCAGCCTGGGCACACGAGGAAAAACTGCCCTCAGAACCACTGAGCTGGGATGGACCCCTGAGAGCCTGAAAGGGCCAGTGTTGTGAGCTCCTCCAACTATTGCCACAGGGAACTGGAGTCTGGAAACAAGTCCCTTTGAGTGTTTTTTTGGAAGAGCTGGTTGCAGGCTGTCCTGCCAAGGGTCGCCCATCCATTTACAGCAAGGGTTCCACCAGCTTGGAAAAGTGGTTCTGCTACCAGTGTCAGCTTTTTGTTTTCAGCTGCTCTTCTGCTGAGCAGATTGGGATAGTCTAAACATTTCAGGGAAGCACTTGGATGCTGAATCTGCAGAGAGAACTGTGGTGAATCACCCCCCCTGCACCATCCTGGTGGTTGTACACGGCCTTTCCACAGGGAAGAGCTGCACTGGGGCCACTAGGACAGGCTGAGCTCTGCTCAGTCCCTGCCTTTCCACAGTGTGGAATTTTAAGTTCCCCTCTAAGCTGATGTTACCTAAGCACCATTCCCCTCTTTTGTCACCCTCACCTGGGTTGTCCTTGCCAGTGAAGGAGGGCCAGGTGCCTGTCCTGAGGGAAGCTCAGCTGCAGCGTTCAGGAAAAGGCCTTCATTTTAGATGGTCGCTGAATTTGAAACAGAGTTCTTCCCCAAACTTTGAGACATGCCTTTGTGATGCTGCTAGCTGATGAAAGCTATTTTTGTCAAACAAGTTTCTTATTAAAATACTATTTAATTTTTAAATTTGGCGTGGTGACACCTTAACTCTGCCTTGTTATTTCTTCCTACTTAAAACAGCGAAGCTTTTACTGCAAAAGCATCGACCCAAACCTTGCTCTTTCCACTCACTGGAACAATACAGGAGCTTTCTTGGCAGACACTCCCTGCAGTAATTTAGAAGCGAAGTGCAGAGGGGCAGGAAAAGTGGTTTTATCTCACCAGCTGCATGTGCTCTGTGCTGCTGCCCCGGGCCAGGCAGAGCTGGCTGAGCTGAAGGGAGGCTCTGTTTTCCTGCTCGGAGTTCAGACTGAACTCCCTGGGAAGCCAGGATGTCTCTTCCCTCGCTGCTGGGGCTTCCTCTGCACATCAAAAGAAGGAGATCTGCAGGATTCCTGTGTGCTCTGCTGCTCAGGACCCTGCTCAGGACCCAGGCACGCAGCAGTTCCCAGGGTCAGTCCTTTGGGAAAAGGCAGCACACGGGGTGGGCAGGAGGCTGGAGCACCTGCAGGGCAGCAGAGACCACACCAGCACAGGTTCACTTGAAGGTCTGCACGAGACAAGAGAGCCTTAAACCCCGCAGCAGCTCATTGCTACCAGGCCTAAATCCATGGAGTTAGTCAGGAGAACTCGGGATGCATTTCCCCTGTACCCCTCACTCCCACCACTGACAGCTGTGGCCTAAAAATACAGACCCGTGGGCTAAAAAAAACCAGGATTACAAGGCTTTGGAATGTGATAAAGCACAGCAGCAGCCACCTTGGAATGGCAACAGCAGTGGGAAGCACTTGTGCAGGACACAGGGAGCAGGTTAAACCTCGCTGGTGGCATCAGCCAGGACCAGCTTTACTGGTCTAACCCCGGGCAGTGCTCAGCCGAGCCCTGGGAAAACGGTAAAAGCTGAGCATCCAGACAGCTCACACACTGCAGCCAGGCACTCTGGGGGTCCAGGGGTTTGGAAGAAGAGGAGGAAAACCCTGCAGGAGGGGTTTTGACCACCACCAAGCTCTCCACACAGCGAGGGGACGCCCTGGGTGGTTCCTGGGAAGGTCATCAGAGCCGAGGGATCACTTCAGCCCTTGCCATGGGAAAGGAAGACAAACCAGAGCTGACACCAGAGAGCCAGAGTGCACAGGGAAGGTTTATTCTCATCACTAACACCTGGGAAGTGGTTTGGAGGAACAAAGTAATCTTCAGAGAGGGAGGAAAAGCAGGTTTTTTTCCCCCCATAAACAAGATGATAGCTGTAAAGAAAATTAAACCACAACAGCTGCTCACGCTGAAGTCCACAGGATTTCTCCAGCTCCACCCTCGTGCAAAACCAGCTCTTCCCATTAAATATAAGAATAAATTCCTTTGCCCTGGGACTAGAGCCAGACCAAACCCTACTAGCAGCCACTCACAGGAAAAAAAAAGAACCAAACCAACAAAATACCCAAACAAAACATATTTTCTTAATAAAAAGCATAAACCACTTCAGTTCTTGCAAGCACTCTGCTTACAGCAGCATTCCTGCCCTGCTTCCCCACCCCATTCCATGGGGCTCCAGGGAAAAAAAGGACCTCAAGACAGCAGCAATACATGTGTGAAAAGGTGACCAGACAGACTGGCAGTGACGCTGTACCCACAGACAGACACTGGCAGCCACCCACCCGCCGGGGAGGGGACACAGCCCTGCTGCAGCCTCCAGGGCACTGACACCAGGAGCCTCCCCAGAGCCAGCAGCTCTTTCTCAGGACATCTTCCAGCAAAACACTGTGTTGGGGAAAGAGCCATGAAGCCCCAGCTGCGTGCTGGAAGCAAACCCCTTCCTCGGGGGGAACAAAGAGGTAGAGCTGAGCTCGCTCCTTTTGGCAGCTGAAAGGGATAAACCCCCAGCCCCATTTTGCTATGGCTGTACCACCCAGTGCCCAGACAACCACCCAGGTCATCCACAGGGCATATTTTGGGTTGGCAATACCCTCCAGGCAGGTGAGGCCTGTCCCACGTGCTGGCACAGTGAGTCCAAGTGCTGGTGAAAGGACCCACCCAGGGCGCCGCACCTGAGGGGTCTGCAGGACACAGCAGCAGGAAGGAGCTGCTCCCCTCCAGCTCCAGCTGGTCTGGGAGCACAGGGGGAGCCTGACAGCTGGGACAGGCAGAGGACACCGGGAACCAGAGAGTAAACATGCTTCCCTGGGCTCCCAGCACACAGGACTCACCTGTGGGTACTCCAGGCTTGGGCTGCCCTGGCCCCGGGGGTCTGGCAGAGCCTCCCAGCCAAAGGCTCCTGCTGCCAGCACCCACCTCTGCTCAAGCACGTTTTATTCACACAGGAACCATTTCTTTTTTTTTTCTCTCCTCATAAAGTGCAAGAACTTTGCCTCTTACTGACTAGTCAACTAGAAGCATGGCAGCCCTCACAGCGGGGAGCAGCAGGCGGGTGAGGAACATCCCACGTCCGGGAGCTCCCAACGCACCGGTCACTCCAGCAGGAGCTCCGGCTCAGACATGGCCCTGTAGAGCACAAAGCCCATCTCGTCGATTTCCTCTTCCGACAGCCCGGAGAACAGGTTGATTTTGGGGTTGAAATAGGAAGGCAGGACCCCTTTCTCCAGGTAGGCCACCAGCTCCTCGAGCACCTGCTGGAACCTGTCGGCCAGGCTCTCCTCTGCCCAGTCGGAGCCGGAGTCACTGAGGTGCAGGATGACGTGGGTCACGGGGCTGCCCCCCAGTTTGTGCAGGGTGGGGTGGCTCCTGCAGACGCCGTTCAGGAGGCGGAGGCAGCGCTGCCGAGCCCCGGAGTCACCGGCGTCCAGCTCCTTCACCCTCGAGACCTCTGCCCTGTAAAAGCTCTCGAGCCAGAGGTTCTCCACCAGTCCCTCGGGAGGAACAGCCAGAAGAACCTTGTCCTCCATTTCCACCAGCGGGAAGAGGGTGATGCTCAGCTCGACCTGCTCGTGTTTCACTTCCAGCTTCAGCTCCCGGGAGGCCACGACGGGGTGGATGGCACATCCCAGCAGGCCGCCGATGGCAGGCCAGTTGATGGAGGCCACCAGCATCTTGTGGAGGGTCTCGTTGAGCACGTTGGAGGAGAGGTACCGGCCCACCATGAACCTGTCCCAGGGGCTGCACCCACGGGGGAAGTACCCCAGATCGACCCTCTTGATCATCCAGTACTGGGGGTTCCTCACCACGGTGTCCTCTCCTGGGATGAGGCTCCAGAGCCCGGCGTCGAGGACCACGGGCAGCATGAGGTGGATGTGGTCGGCTGCCAGGACCTCCAGGCCGTCCAGGAGGGCTCCGCTGAGGAAGAGGCGGCTGAAGGGCAGCTCTGGGCACTTGCTCCGCAGGAAGTTCTGCAGTTGGGTGCTGATGCTCCTGGCCAGCTGAGGGACGAGGGACACCTGGATCTCAGGCACGGCCAGGCGGCTGCTGTGGTGGGAGAGGAGCCTCTCCTGCAGCGTGAGGCAGCGCAGAGGGCTGGACTTCACCCGAGGAGCCCCCAGAGGGGCAGGGCACGCCCTAGGATCTGTGAGAAGGGAAGGGAGAAGTCACAGCTCTGGGCAGATCATCTGTAACCTACAGCAGCAGCTTCTGCTGCAGCCAGTGGGGTGCTCAGCTCTCATCCCACACCTCTGGATGGGACACTGACCTTGGTGAGGGCCCCCACTGAATCCTCTGATGTTAACGGTGCTTCTCAGCCATGCAGAGCCCAAACCAACCTCAAAACCCAACAGTGCCTGGCCTCAATTCTCAGCTAAGAGATGGGTGAGCCAGGCAAGGGACCCGCTGCCAGGGTCCCTACGAGTCTCAGCCTCACAGAGGCTGCTCTGGCAGATCCAGCATGTTCCATTGCCTGCCTGATCACTCAAGTGAACTGAGAGAATCATGGAATATCCTGAGCTGGAAGCAACCCACAACCTAAACCTCCCCTGACACAGCTCTGGCCATTCCCTTGGGTCCTGTCACTGGTCACCAGAGGGAAGAGATCAGTGCTGCCCCTCAGGAAGGTCCTGCAAATGATCCTGCTCCAGGTCCAGTATCTCAGGACCTGCCCTGCCCCAAGCCAGGCCGCCTTCCCACTTGGAAAAATGCCGTCTCCGTAGGCAGTCGGACAAGGCAGCCTTTGTCTGCAGCAGCTCCCGAGCGCACCTTCCTGCAGGCAGAGCTGACCCAGAAAATGAGGGCAGCCAACACCGCTCCAGAGGAGACAAACCCCGCCAGGCCCCGCCGTGCCGTGCTGGCCGGGACAGCCGGGGTGTTATCAGAGCTCCCGTCTGCACAGGCATTGCCTAAAAAGGGGCCGTGGCTCAGGAGCCTCCCAGGAGGGCAGGCTCCATCGGGTCGGCTTCTCGGACACCGAGCTAAAAATAACCCCGAGCTCCCAAAGTGCCGGAGCAGGGCACAGCCAGCCCCCAGCACAGCAAGGTGATCTTCCCAGCTGGACACCCTGAGCCTCACCCGGCACCAGCGGCCGAGCCGGGCAGAGCAGGGGCTCGCTGAGGTCTTCCCTCCTCTGCTTCTTGGGGGTTTTTGGTGTTGTCTTGATCAAGGCCAAGTCCTGCCAGGTCTCCTCCAGAGTCTTCTGCTCGGCTTTGGGATCACCTTCATCCCGAGGGCTGGTGGCTCGGTCGATCAGCTGGAGGGAAGGAAAACCCACAGGGATAAGTCGTTATCCTTGTTTCCCCTGAATTACGGGTGACAACAGCCCCTCTGGTGCACACAAGGGGGGACACTCGGAAAAACACCCAGTCCGAGGAGCCATGAAGGTGCACATCATCTTCCCGTGGATTTTAAGTGGAAAACAGGTGCCCAAATAAGCTCCAGGTGCTTTTCTGGATGGGATACTGTATCCCAGGTGTGTGCTGCTCCAGGTGGGAACGGGCAGCTCCACACCTGCGGCACTGCTGCCAGAACCGGTGGCATTTGTCCCAAACATGAGGGACCAGCTCTGGAGCAGCCAACGAGGCTCGTGGCACATCTTTCCTCACCACGCAGGGGACCCAAGCAGCAACCCTGCCCCTGCTCCCGCGGGTCTCAGCCTTACCCTCTTGACGGCCAGCGTGGCGATGGCCAGCACGGCCGCTCCGCTCACGCCCAGCACCAGCCTGGCATTGGCCAGCAGCACATCGAACACGCTGCCCAGCCCGTCCAGCACACCGCCCAGCCCGCCGTGCTCCTGCCGCCGGCCCCGCTGCTGCCAGAACGCCGCCATGGCCCGCCCTGCGGGGAACAACGCGGGTCACCCCGGGCCGGAGGGGGGCACAGCCCGAGGGGAGGGAGGTTTTTGGCGGAGCGGGAGGTGCCGCCGTCCCGCCTCTCTCAACCCCCGGGGCAAAGGCTCCTGTCGGCGGCGGGACGGCTGGGTGGGGCGGAGGGGCAAGGGTCACCCCCGGGAGGGAAGGGACACCCCGGGGAAGGGACACCAGGGAACATGGGCACCCCCGGGGAAGGAAGGGAAACCCCGGGGAAGGGACACCGCAGAACAAGGGCACCCTGGGGAAGGAAGTGGCACCCCAGGGAAGTGATACCCTAGGGAAGGAAGGGACACTGCGGGGAAAAGCCGCTCGTGCCGGGGAAGGGTCACCCGCTCCTCACCCGGCCCTGCCGCAGCCGGCCCGGAGGGCACCGGCGGCGCTGCAGCGGTACCGCGGGCCCCGGGAGGGGCCGGGACGGAGACCCCTCCGCTGCCCGAGGGAGGCGGCCGGGCCGGGGCACGGCTGGGCCGGGAAAAGGGACAGGGACAGGGATCGGGATCAGGATCGGGCCCGGCCCCCCCGCACTCACCGCGCGCCCCCCGCGCGGCCTCAGCCAATGGGGGCGCGGCCCGGCGCGGCCCCGCCCACCCGCGCGCGGAAGTGGCGCCCGGCCCCGCCCAATCGCCTTGGCGCGTCACGGCCGGGGCGGGGCCGGGGGCGGGGCCTGTCGGGGCGCGGCTCCGCAGGGTCCCCCCGCCCCTCCCTTCCCTTCCCGTCCCGTCCCGTCCCGTCCCTCCGCCATGGCGGCCACCGGCGTCCTGCCCTTCGTGCGCGGCGTCGACCTGAGCGGCAACGACTTCAAGGTGCGGGGGAGCGGGAACGGCAGTGGGAGCGGGGGCGGCCCGGCCACAGGGACCGGCGAGCCCGGGCCCCGCGCGGCGCTGTCAGGCCCGGCCCGGCCCCCCGGGCTGGGGAATCCCGGTACACCGGGGGTGGTGTCCAGGGTGGGCGGTCCCCGAGCCCCCGCCCTCTATGGCTGAGCAGCCTGCGGCTCTCCATGGGGTCCCAGAGAGACAGGTGGTCGTCGACCCTCTTCTTCCCAATCCCATTGGACTGGGGGATTCTGGCTCCCAGCCCCATCGTGCTGGGGTCTCCCAGCTCCTCAGCTCCCCATCCCATAGAACTAGGTGATCCCGACCCTATCCGGGCCCCAGTCCCATGGGAGTGGGTGATCTCAGACCTTGGTTCCCAATTCCATAGGACTATGTGATCCCAGCTCCTAATCCTATAGGACCAGGTGATCCTGGTCTCCCAGATCCCAATCCCATGGGACTCTGTGATCTGAGCTACCAATCCCATGGGATTGGACAATCCCGGTCCCTCACCCCCAAAACTATAGTACTGAGCGAGTTCCAGCTACCCATCCCATAGGACTGGGTCATCATGGCCCCGAGCTCCCAGTCCCATAGGACTGGGTGATCCCAACCCTGCCAAGCACCCAATCCCATAGGACTGAGTGATCACAGCCCCCAGTCCCATAGGACGGGGTGATCCTAGCCCCCCCAGTTCCCAATCACATGGGACTCGATGATCCCAGCCTCTCCCACTCCAGATCCCATACTTTTGGACAATCCCAGCCACACAGGGCCGGTCGGACCAAGGTCCCCAGTCCCTCCCCCCATCGGGGCAGGGGGTCTCCTCACCCTGGTCCTCCCACAGGGCGGGTACTTCCCGGAGCACGTGAAGGCCATGACCAGCCTGCGCTGGCTGAAGCTGAACCGCACGGGGCTCTGTTACCTGCCCGAGGAGCTCGCTGCCCTCCAGAAGCTGGTGAGCCCCTCGTTTCGGGAGGGAATGGGGCTCCACTATCCCGCTGGAGCTGTGGGATCCGAAGGGAGGCTGCTCCCTGCCAGCCCCGTGGCTCGTTGGCGGATGCTCTGGTGTCTAATAATAGGGCTGAGCTACGACGTGCGGTTGAAATCAGATGCAGGAGCTGTCAGGAGTGGGGTTGAGACTGGCTGGTAGTTGGTTTCACCTTGTTTTCCTAGAAAACCAGATGAAAAACCATGGTTAGATCCTAAGCCCCTTAACAGATGGGAAGAGGAATGGTTAGTGTGGGGAGGATTAAGGTTTTGGGGCTTTTTTTCCTCCTCTTCTGCTGAAATATATAAGGAGCAGCAGCTGGCAGCTGCCTGGCTTTGTTTTTCGGGCGGCTCTACCAGGCCCTTCCTTGGTGGAGCTCCTTGGTGGCTCAGCTTTGCTTTGGTGGTGTCCAGGAGCACTTCAGGAACCTCATTCAGTGGTTCAGTCAGATGAACACAGCGCTTTTAAACGCTGCCAGGAGTCCCCATCCCTGTGCCAGGTGCAGGGAATCCCTCCCTGCTGCTCGGAGCCGAGCTCCCCCTGGCCCTGCCACATGCTCAGTGTGGGGGGGGGGGGGGGACACGGCGAGACTTAAATCCTTAAATCCCGGGCATCCCGCCCACAGCCTGACAATTCCTCATTTTCCTGAGCAAGCAACAGCCGGGCTGGTGATACCCAGAGGAAAACGTTTCCCCTGGGAGATTCCTCCCACCCCCCACCCACCCCACGTCTGCCCATTTCCAGATCACCCGGTGAGAGGCGTTGATTTCCCGTCTCCAAGGACTGGGATGTGTTTGCTCAGGGACTGGAATGGGACTGCCACAGGCCAGCCCCGTGGCATCCCAGAGCACCCTGAACCCTGCAGCAGGGATGGGGTGTCCCAGCCAAGGCTACCCCAGGAATGTGGGCACGCTGGGACCAACCAACCAGTTTGAGACTGGGAGCGTCCCAGCAGCCCTGTGAGGGTCAGGACTACCAAGTCCCCAGTTCTGTTGGAGTGGAGGAGCCCCCACATCCATGTGGGGTCCCAGCTGTTGCTCTGAGCAGCCCCAGCTCCTCTCACTGGGGCTTGTCTGGGGCTCCCCTGCAGGAACACCTCTCCGTGAGTCACAACAGCCTGACCACGCTCCATGGAGAGCTCTCCGGCCTGCCCTGCCTCCGGGTGAGTGTCCCCCTCCTGCATCAGGTGTCCCCTGGCACCTGTCGGATCTGGGGGCACGCAAGGATCATGCCTGTCCACCTTGGGATGCTCAGCAGGTGGGTGAATTCCTGCCTGTCTCCCCTTTCCAGGCCATCGTGGCTCGTGCAAACAGCCTGAAGAACTCAGGAGTCCCTGATGACATCTTCCAGCTGGATGACCTCTCGGTGCTGGTGGGTGCAGAGTCTCCTCCTGAATCCCATTCCTGCACCTCAGTGTCCCCTTGTGCTCCTCGAGGAGCCCGTGCCTGAGTTCCAGGGAAGCTGCTGTGGGCTGGATGACCCTTTGGCAGTGCTTCCAGCCATAGCTGGGTTCCCCATATGCTGATCCAGCTCCTGCTGCTGTGCCCCTGGAGATGCCCCTCAGCCCTCAGGTTTGGGAGGTGGTGGCTGGAGGCAGGGCTGGGGGTGACACCCGCTTTGTGCTCCCATTTTTCCCAGGACCTGAGCTACAACCAGCTCACAGAGTGTCCCCGGGAGCTGGAGAACGCCAAGAACATGCTGGTCCTCAACCTGGGCCACAACAGGTGGGTCCAGAGCAGGGTGACCATCTGCCCCTGGGCACGGCCACCTCCATCCATCTGCTCTCTGCCCCTCCTCGAGGGAGGCCCGGGGCTGGTGCAGCTCCCAGGCAGCCCTGCATATCCCCATGTTCCCACAGCATCGACACCATCCCCAACCAGCTCTTCATCAACCTGACGGACCTGCTCTACCTCGACCTGAGCGACAACAAGCTGGAGAGCCTCCCGCCGCAGATGAGGCGCCTGGTCCACCTCCAGACCCTCATCCTCAACAACAACCCCCTCCTGCACGCACAGCTCCGGTGAGGCCCTGCTTTCCAGGCTGGATCCCAGTCTGCCGGGTCTGGGCCGGTGCCTGCTCCATCCTGAGGCTCTCCCTGGCCTGTGCTCCGCAGGCAGCTCCCGGCAATGACAGCCCTGCAGACCCTCCACCTCCGGAACACCCAGCGCACGCAGAGCAACCTGCCCACCAGCCTGGAGGGCCTGGTGAACCTGGCAGGTAGGCCCGGAGCACCCAGCCCCACGGAGCCCTGTGGGGGGGCTCTGCCACCCCCGGGATGGGTCTGGCTGGTGTTGTCACCACGTTGTCTCATCCCCCAGACGTGGACCTGTCCTGCAACGACCTCAGCCGTGTCCCCGAGTGCCTCTACACCCTGGGCAGTCTGAGGCGCCTCAACCTCAGCAGCAACCAGATCACGGAGCTGTCCCTCTGCATCGACCAGTGGACCCAGCTGGAGACCCTCAACCTGTCCCGCAACCAGCTCACCTCCCTACCTGTATGTCCCTTGCCATACGTGCCATCCCTGCCTGTGCTTCCATGGTTCTCCCTCACCCCGCCTTCTGCCCCTTCCCCAGTCAGCCATCTGCAAGCTGACCAAGCTGAAGAAGATGTACCTGAACTCCAACAAGCTGGACTTCGATGGGATCCCCTCGGGCATCGGCAAGCTCACCAACCTCGAGGAGTTCATGGCGGCCAACAACAACCTGGAGCTCATCCCTGAGAGCCTGTGCAGGTAGGAAACAGCCCACAGCTGGATCTGCTCTGTCCCCAGGAGGGGACACACAGACTGTCACCCTGGGCTGGCCCATCACCAGCATTGCTGTCCCACAGGTGCTCCAAGCTGAGGAAGCTGGTGCTGAACAAGAACCGCCTGGTGACGTTGCCAGAGGCCATCCACTTCCTGACGGACGTGGAGGTGAGCACCAGCACCCCCTGCCTCAGGCTGGCTCCACCACAGCCCTAGTGCATCCCAGCGATCCCAGGGCTGTAGGGTGAGGTGGGTGAGGTGAGGTCAGGTGGGCTTGAGGCACTCTGGCACACGGCTCTTCTCAGGCAGGGGAAGGATTCGGGGCTCCCTCCACATCCCCTCACCTCACCAAAGCCCAGGGCGCTCCGGAGGTCTCCATCCCACGCCACATCCTCGATGTCCCTGTAAGTAGGTGC